AATATCTGGAACACAGACTTTTCATTCCCAGAGATCTGCTGGGGAAAGAAAGAGCCTTTCTGCAGCCCCGCAAAGGCTGTTCCTCATAAGGAGGCAGAACAGCAAAAAGGGCTGGGACTTAACCCCTTAGTGGCCAGCCCAGAACAGAGCATCTGCAGCTCCGAGTTTGTGCAAAGCAGGTAGGAAAAGTGGGAATCCCCTGTACAGCTCAAAGAGGGAGACAGGCTGATCCATACGGCTCCAGGCAAAAGTCCAGTGAACCCTCCAGCCATGGCCCTGCCCACAACGTGTACTCAAAAACCCAACATCCTGGCCACGTGGCACATGAGGACTGAGTCCATGCAGGGCTTCCCGTATGCCTTCTGCCTAATAACAGGTTTTGAGGAAGGGATTAGAGCACTGAAACTTGCGGCTTCGCACTGCACAACCCTGCTCAAGGGCAGAGAAGAAAGTAAGTGGTAGCCATTGGCTGGATAATGGTGATCATCCTTTGGTACTGAGAGGCTGGATGTTTCCAGGCTGCTCAGAAAGGTGCTGCTGGCTGAGGACAAGTATCTTCATGTCTGGGAGCGACACGAGAGCTACATGGGAGAACAGCTGGGGAATCAGATAGAAGTTTGCAGGACTTGCATAGGAGGTTGGACTACATGACCTCCAAAAGTCTCTTCCAGTCAGCGTTTCTGTGGATGTAGGAAGTTGCCCGCAAGGACCAAGATGAACCAGATGTGGTTTAGGGAAAGGAACTTAACAGGACAGCTGAGGAGAATGCTTATACATAGCATATATCTACAAGCATGGTGTGGGAGTCAGCGAGGAGATGGCAGGAGCACAGTCAGGATCTGGGTTCTCTCGGAGAACTGATCCCTCATGTCGTCTTTGTTTGGCTATGCACATCACATGCTGCCGTGGCTGCTCCTTGATTGGAAGGTATCTGGGATTAACTGGGTACAATGCAAATCCTGCAACCGGATCAACACCTTTGAAAGTGCCACTGCATTTGTTAGTGATATTAAACACCTGACCAGAGCGCAGAACTGACATCCCTGGGTCAATCTCACTGACAAACAGCATGACTGTGACTCCCACACTAAATACACCCTCTACAACGTGCTTTGATCTCTCCAGTTAAGCTTCAATTTCCATGAATATTGATAGGCACTTAGCACACTGCATCACATCAGATCCTACGTGAGGCCTGTGCTGGAGCTTCAGCACAGAGAAAACCCCCAAAACCCCTATAAGATGATGCAGAAAAAACATCTTGTGGTATTGCTGATCCCTGTTGTTATGTGCCTTGAAATAGGAACATTTTATCTTAAATCCTATCGGCTTTCTATGACTGTGAAAGGTCTTTGTTTCTAACGAACTTTGGACCAAACTGTTGCCTCATTCCAGGGAGTCCCAAGAAAGTTACCTTCCTGCCTTTAGTGTCATTGAATTCTTTGCTCTGGTATGCTATGGGACTGGGCAACTGATTGACGTGGCTGCTCTCCAAGTCAGCTCTCGGTCCAGCATCTCCGCTCAACGAGTGCGTTCAACCTCCAAAGCAGAGAGGCCAAAACACCGCACTGCCACTGCAGCTTAGCAAAACACTTAAATCCCTAAAACACCTGCTCTGAACTTGACTCAAATCCCCACCTGGCTCAGCTGCTACCAGAGTTAGCTGAGCATCTGGCAGCCTACGTCTGGTCACATCCCAGACCTTGGTGGAGGCCTAACTCCACAGATGAGGGCCACAGCCCCACCAAGCCAAGGCTCCTTGGCTTGAGGTCCAGCTTGATCATGAAGATGCTGCTCCTCTAGTTTTATCTGTGTTTCTGAGAAAAATAAAATAAGAGGCAGAAGAGAAGCAGAGCTGGTGAACTTGAGCATCAGAGCAGGTCTGCAGAGACCAGTGAGTACACACAGAGCAGTGTGAACGTCCACGTAGTGTAAGTGTGCACAGTGGGAGCGTGCACAATGCAGTGCGAAGATGCATAGAGAAGGGTGAGTGTGCACGGTGTGAGTACATAAAGGACAAAGTGAACATGCACAGATTGCTATGACAGCTCTGTCAGGTCTGATGAGAAGAAAACCACCAAATGTATTCAATGGGTGCAGGAGTGACTGGGGGAAATTCAGTGTATGACAGCCTCTCACAGGTTAGCAGTAGCTAATCAAGAATGCAAAGCACTTTTTTCCCTGGGAGACAGTGCACATGGAGCTTCCCCTGTCCCTTGCCCTAACCAGCAGGCTGCACCTGACCCTGCAATGGGTTTATCTCCAATTCTCCTTTTAATTCGTCCATTGCTCCAAAATTGCTCTGTTTTGTGTGGAGCAGTTTATTACCTTCCCCTGTGCTGGAGTGGAGGCTTGTGAGCGTGGCTATAACAGTCCCGCCTTTACTGGCTGACATACCCAAAAGGGCAATAGGTAATGGGTGACGCAGCACTTAGCCATCTATCTCAGCCTTAGTTTTTCTCTCTGTGGCCCTGGGCGCTACTGAAGATCTTGCAGAGGACTTTGCCCACGGGCTGTGGGCCTCCTCCTGTGGATGGTCCCATGGGGAAAGGGCACCCATGCTTTAGCTCTTGCCTAAGAGAGCATTTAATAAATTGAGAGGAGGGTGTCTTCTCTGGCTTCCCAGAGGTGATGCCTCTGTAGATGAAGGCCAGTGGCTTTAGGGCTTCCTAGAGGGTCTCAGAGCTGCTACCCACATCAAAAGGACATGGAAGAATTTAACAGTGTTATTGCAAAGACTGCAACCTTCCTGAGCTGCTCATGACTTTCCAGACCTCTTTTGTTGGTGTGTACACAGCTTTGGATACATGAGGGATACGCTGCTCCACGGTCTATGCAGTGGCAGTTTCAGGGCAGCAGATAGCATGCTCTGTCCTCCTCTGGAGCTAATTCCCAAGGCAGAACTGCTGAAAGTCAGGCACTGGTGTTGTCTGAGACCCTTGGAGGAAGGATTGCCCAGTGCTGTTCTGTTTTCCAACTGCATAAACAGAGAGCTGCATTTTAAAGCTACCTGACATCTGCAATGCTCTCTGACCCTCTTTGGGAGCCTAGAAACCATTTGAATGATGCTAGTATTAGATCAGACATTAGTTTTAGAAAGAAGAATAGCTCCTTTTCTTGAGGTGCCCTAACAAAGACCTTTTCAAAAGTCCAGATAGATTATATCAATTAGAACCACAGAAAGCTTCATTTTCAACTTGCTGTCCACGAGGACCCCAGGTTCTTCCCTGTAAAGCTGCTTTCTGCCCCCAACCTGTCCTGCTACATTGGGTTACCCCATGCCAGATGAAGGACATTACATTTGTCTCTATTAAATGTCAGTAGGTTCCTGACAGCTTGTTTCTCTGGCCTGTCAGGGTCCTTTTGAATGACAGCCCTGTCTTCCTGTGTATTGACTGCGCCTGTTTGATGTCATCTGCAGACTTGCTGAGGCTTCAAGAGACTTGGCTGGCATACGCTACCATGCCTGTACTTTGGAGGTCAAGCACTTATTCCTTCTCTCCAGCTTCCCTGAAGGTGCCTGCCCCAACCTTGCAGGGCTATTTCTAGTTGGGATGCTGAGTTTTCAGCTGCAAAAATGGATGTGAGCATTACAGCTGCTCTTTAAAAGCAGCCCAGTGCTCCTGCAGCTGGCATGCCTGACAGTGGGCTGCTTTAGGCTGCAGGGCTGAATGTCTCTGCCCCTACTTTGCGAAAGGAGGTGGAGGTTTGGGGATGGGGTGGCTGGAAATTTAGGGACAAGAGCCACAGATTTGACTGGGGGAAGGACCGTGCAGAGAGGTGGTGAGGTCTAGGCATTAGTGCAGGGCTGCAAGAAGCAGCACTAATCCTGCCCAGTGTCTTGGGACCTCTTCCCAGACCTTATAGGCAAGGCAGAGCCGAGTCCCACACTTCTACCCAGTCCCTGCCAGTTTTTGGCCTCCGACTCTGTGGGATAAGGATGCTGCAGATTGTAAAGTGTGGGCTGATTCAGTCTCCAGTGCCACCTGCCGGTAAACCACCCTGGAAAAAACCTGGGGCTTTCAAACTGACTGCTTGCTGCACCAATACCATGCAAGCCCAGGAAGCTCCAGAAGCCACCATCCCATGCTGTAGCAGAGGTAGGCTGCTCCTGCTCCTCTGGAGACCTGTGCAGGGTGAAACTGTGAGCTAAAGCCCCTCACAAAGACTCTCCTCTTCTACGTCCCAATCATCTCGCGTATAGCTCCATGGCTCTGTACCCCACAGCTCTTGGTCCTGCCTGCCGTGGCTGGCCTGGGGGCTGCAGGTAACCTACTGTTGCATTCATAGGTACAGCCCTAGATTGTCACCTGTCCTAGGGAGAAGGACGTACTTGGGGTCCTCAGCTCTAGTACATCTAGAGGCCCTTGGGACTGTCAGTTCTACTAAGGATAAAGCCATCTCCGGGGGGGGGGGAGGGGGGGCAGGTTGGCTGAGCTATGGGCTTTGAGTTTGTGGATCCTTTACCGTGGTTATAGGGCAGCTCTGGACCCCGCCCAGTTGCATTAGGGGCTAGCAGCATTCCCTGGAGCTGTGGGGCTGTACAGCCCCACCAGCTGTACCTGTATATAGCTAGCTTTGGGGCTAGTGTCTGTAACCAGGCTGTGGATGTGTTCTGAAACTGTTATCCCCATCGGATGCATTTGTCCTGTCATCAGAAATGGGGCTGATGAGCTTTGGAGGAGACTTAAGGAGGGTTTATTCAATCGTGGCAGCAAGCTCTGACTTCCCCACATATATGTGACTCATCTTGCATTAAGCAACTCTCTGTTGTCAGCTCCTTCTAAGGGCTAGGAGAGATGGGGTGTCCCCAGACCCTACCAAGCTCTATAGCCCACCACCAACTCCAGTGGCTCCCCATACACCCCCCAGTACCCAGTGTCCCCAGTTTTCCCAATATGTCCCCACTGCTAGAGACTCGGCTTCCTCTCTTTTTGTGCTAACCCTGGGCCAGGACTTTCTCTGGGTGGCTCTGGAAGGAGATGCATTTACTCAGCGTGGTCTGTAGCAGGAATTGCGTTTATTGACTGGCTCTGCTCAGCAGTGATGAGGTGCAAGTAAGCCTGGTCTGCACCCTGATGTACAAGAAGCAGTGTCCTGGGAAGTGGTAGGGTTGGCCTGGCGATCTGCATGTTCTTCAGGTGGGTGGGTATCAAAGCGTCCAGGCTGCAACAGAATGCCTGCTGGCTGTCAGGCTTAGCTTTATCCAGCATCTCCTGGCCTGGGGAAAGCACAGGTCTGTGATCCCACTGCACTTGCTGAGAACGGCCCAGCCAGGCATCGTGCTGTGTTGCGGGAGGCAGACTGCTTATTTCACACCCAAACATTTGACATATGCGCTCCTTGCTGCCCTTGCTTTAGCTATGCCTGCTTCAGTCTTTGGTGTGCTGTGTGAATTTAAAGGCTGCTCTCCCTTCCCTCTTCCCTAACAGTACCCAAGAGCTCGGAAAGCTCCAGAACCAGGCTCTGAGACAGAGAAGTAGAGGCAAAACCTGGGCAGGAAGGAACCAGCAGCACAAGGAGCAGTCATTTAACGTTCCTGGCCAGTGGGAATAGGCACTTACACCCCAAGGGGCTCAGGGCACCATGTCTAGAGCAGAGTCTTTTCCAAGGGAGACCTTGGCCCTCTGCTGCAGTTAGCAGAGGCCAGCAGCAGGAAAGGGGCTACAGAAGGGGTGCAGGTGGTGTCTGCAGAAGACTAAGCCTCAGGGAAGATCAGGAAGCCAGAGAAGGTGCTGTCAGCCCCTTCGATCCCTACGACGGAGTTCTTCTCTGTTGGTTCCAGCCAGACAGACTCTTCTGCTGCCATCTTGAGCACCACACCACCCGTGGTGACCTGGTAGCTGTTTTGCACGTAGTCACAGAAGGTCACCACCTTCTCACCCTTGCTGCCACCCCGGCCTTTCTTTATGTTGATGCACAGGTTGCCCTTGGATGTGACATGGTAGGTGAAGTAGTAGATGCCTGGGATCTGGCAGGTAAAACGGCCGTATCGGTTCTCATAGTGGCTGTTCTCGTTGGTAATGATGCGGTCAAAGCGGATGGGCTGCTCTCGGCGTGGGAGGAAGCTAATCCTTCTGGCAGCTGAGAAGGCAGACTTCAGATTGGTCTTGTAGTCACCAGAGTCTCCCTGGGGCCCAGGAGGACCCATGATGCCTGGAACTCCCTTTGAACCTGTGGGGCCCTTGGGGCCAACCTTCCCAGGGTACCCCGGTGCCCCTGGGTCTCCCTTCTCCCCAATCTCTTCTTCATCCTCCACGTGGCCAGGGGGACCTAGGAAATAGGAGGAACAGCTTTTATGGTTGCAGCTGAGCCAGCATGTCTGGGCTATGTGACCCCCCCCCCCCCACTTCATATAGTGCAGGTCTGCAGAGAGGGCACAGAGGACGAAATTGCAGGAGTGTGGGTCAGCTGAGACCCCTGCCCACCTGATACACACGACTCCCCTTGCTATCTGATCTGTATGCCCTCCCTCTCCAGATTTCTTAGCATGTTTTCTTCCTGCTGCTCCAGTCTACCTGGTCCCTTTGGTCCCCAGCCATCACCCATGCCTGGTAACATCTCGAAGAGCCTTGCTGTCCTGGTAGACAGTGACCCCAATTGCATTGATTTCCCAGGCCTGGCACTGCCTTTTGCCTGCTCTTGCTCTTAGTAGGATGATGTTTTCCCCACCCACAGTCTCCTCCTTACCTCGCTCCCCCTTTTGGCCATTCTCCCCATCTATGCCATTCCTGCCAGGCTGGCCTGGTGACCCGGGGATGCCTGGGATGGTGCCATAGGTCTTGCAGAGTGTGGCACTTGTGAGCTGCCCTCCAGCGAGGCAGATCAGCATCACCCCCACAGTCCGCATCTCGTTTTCCCTGCTGGAGCACAGAAAGACACTGCAGGGCTACAGGTCCTCAGGCAGTGAGAGGGATGGAGCAGCCACTCTACATAGCTCTGGAGGACAATGCCTAGAAGCAACCCTAGGTAATACCATCAGGGAGGGAAAACATCCTGCTATGAAGCCAAATCTACCCTGCTCCTGGCCGTGGAGGGACCAGCCCCTTTGAGCATGGGAAGGCTTTTGCCCTAGGGATGGACCAGTCTCTTCCAACTCTTATATTGCAGTGTACAAGTGTCCAGAGCTTCAGCTCTGGCTGAAGGGCAGAGTTTATATATTAGGGGGGCAGGTTAGCCTATCCCAGAGGCTTCCTGTCCAGCCTGGTTGTGCTGCTGCCATGCAGAGAGCAATGGGGAAGCAAGAGTCTGTGTTTGCTGCAGATGGGCTGCAGGAGAAAGAGCAGCACACTTACATACTGCAGGACCTTGCTCTGAGTTCCCAGGGCTCCCTGAGAGAAGAAATTCCCCAACGCATCCCAGGACCATAATATGTAGGGGCAAATCTTTCTCTGAGCCAGAGCAGCTTCATTATCTGCAAGGGGATATCTCTCGCTTTCTTCCAGCATATCTGAGAACCAGCTTTAGTCCCTGCAGATAGAAAAAAATATCCCCAGACCTCTCCTCCTAACTCCTGAGGGCTCCCTGCCGCAGGACCAAGAGCATTTCTACATCTCATCAGCCTTACTAGGAAAGTCAAATCAGCCTCCAGTCCCTGTGGCCCCATCTTCCTATTGCCCTCCCTGCATCTTACAGCTTAGCTGCTTCCCAGAGAGTTCTCCTGGTGCTGCCTGGTGTGGGGTTAGCCCTGGGCATTTTTGGACTGTATCTGGACATCACAGTATCCCAATCACACTCTCTGGCACTCCAGGAGTGATTTTTCCAGGGGTCAGTGGGAAAAGGGGCAGGCGAGTCAGCTCCTCCAGCCACGGCATCTCTAATTCGGACACGACAGGCACCAGGTCCAATTCTCAGGCTCCCAGCTCAAGCTCAGGTTGATAAAAAGAGCGCTTCAGGGAAGGGAGACGTGCCCATGGCAGCTTTCAGACTGCCGCTCGGTCCCTGAGCCTTTCTTATCTTTCCTTTCTCTCTCCCCTTCTCCCCAGTGGGACACAAAGGGCTGCGGCCCCAGGCAGGGAACTCCATCAACCCCAGCTCCAGCAGCCCCCCTTTCTCTTCTGTTCCAGGCCACAGCAAAGTGCCAGTGGCTGATTTGGACCCTTCGGGAGCCCTACACATGGGAGTGACTGTCATCCTGGTGCTGCTGGGTTCCCCCTGCATTCTTACCCGAGGGAGGGAGCTAGGTCTCAGCTTTACAAGTAGTTTGCTCTTACCTTGAGCTTCTTGTGGCACGAACTGGGAACAGGACACACCAGAGTCCTGCTTGGAAATGGCCCTGGGGGGAAGCAGAAGTCTGATGCAAATAAAGTGTTGTGAAAGGATCCAGCCACATCCCTTTTTTTATCTTTAGCTCCTGTCCTTTCTTCACTGGCACTTTCATATCCCCTACAAGTGCTATCCACCAGCTCAGCAGAACATGAAGTCCTCAGAGAACACCCTGGGGCCCTTCAGCTGTACAACTCCAACCCTGAGAAGCAGAGAGATTTTCACTCTGTCCTCTGGGCCCTGTCTAATATCATGTTTGCTTTGGGGAATGCTGCCATGGGGTCAAGGAAAATTCTGGGTAGTCCCTCAAGAGGTCCTTGTCTTTGTCCATGTGGCGGCTGCATAAATCCAGGCCAGTCCTGTTGAGGCTAATGCAACTGCACTGATGAAATTGTGCAGGATCAGGCCATCACAGTGGTGGAAGTCAGCATCCCCCTTTGCTACCTTGCTTTTGCAATTCAGCCTCTTCTACTTGTCTCTGTTGCAGGCAAGAAGCCAATGACAGTCGTTCTCAGAGGAGTTCTGGAGACGTATGAATGCATTTTGTGAGCATCCTTTAGGCTTCTCCACATGTATCTGTCTCTGTTCGGAAGGTGCCAGCAGGCACAGAGGATGTGACATGGTGTCAGCCTCCATGCCCTTGAATCTGGCCCCCAGGCTCTCCTAAATGTTCTCAGTAGGATGTGATTTCACCTTGCAATAAAAGCACTTCCCATCTCAATTTCTGCCAATGTCTTTTGGAGATGAAGCATAAGACATTCAAGCACATGAGCTCTCCCCTTCTCCTGCACAATGCTTGCCACCAGGAGGCATCTCCATTTGTTTATGATGGGCTCTGTAGCCTCCACAGCCATGGGATCCTTCTGTTTGCTTCTGGGAGGCCTCTTCTGTGTGGCAATCAATGTTTGTCCTTCCCAAAGCCTGTCCCTACAGGTACATCCTTCCAGACCTCTGCAGAGCAAACCCTGCACCTTGGGGCATTATTATGCCTGACAGCAGTCATGCTCGCAGGGAGCAAGCCGCGTTCAGGCCTGCTGTGGTGAGGCTGCTAACTGGTGTCCTGCTGCACACAGCAGAGGCAACCCGGGTCCTTGGATGTGGCTCATATCTGTTCTCTGGGTAGCTGAGAGGCGGGGTAGCTACCCCTGGGTAGCATCCAGGGGTTGCAGCCCTGGATGGTCACTGAGGGTGACAACTCAAGACACCAAAGAAGAGTCATCTCCTAAAGCCATACCCACCAGCCCTCCCTAGCCAAGAGGTGAGCAGCCTGTACTTGGACATTGTGGAAATCCTGCTCTCCCATGCAAAAATCTCTCAGGTTTGGCCTGAGGCTGGATCCTCCCTCCACATCTGTACTTCCAGTGCTGAACCCCTGCTAACCCCAGCACCATATAATTCCTTCAGGCACCCTTTCACCACTTGTTCTGAGTTGGCAGCAAAGAGTCTATCCCCAGACAAGTTTCTGGTGCCTGCACTGCACCGTCTGGGGTGATGGAGCCCTTCAGATGTGCTCTGAAATCAGTGGGGTGGTCACTGGTGAGCCTGAGGATGTCCCAGTTGCCTGAGGGCTGGCTGTGTGTTTTGCTGTGTGGTTTGTGGCCCTCTATATCTAAACTACACACACTTGGGCAGGAAGGGGAATACTAGCACTCCTGCCACAAAGAGCCTTGGTACTCTATAGGCCAGAACTGTATGTGTGGTCTCAGGAATCATGCCCTTCCTGTGATCAGTGCAGCTGAGGCTCTTACCCCTTACCCCAATAGAGCAAAACTGGGGTTATGGACAGTGTCTTTCACTTACCGAAGCTGAGCATGGGCTGGCCAGCAAGAGCTCAAGGACACCCAGGTCTCTCTCACACACTCACATACACATTAACATGTTGCACAGCACATCCGTCCTGCCACGCATCCATTTCTGCAGGCTTTGCCTGCAGAAAGCCAAGGAATAAAGAAAAAAAATGACACTGGGCCAGGCACACTGGGGGAAGGTTTATTGACACTTGCCACAGCCAAGTCATTGCAAAGTGCCTGCTGCAAGCCTGCTCCAGACCACTTGGCTTGTGCTTGTCACTGATGCAACTGAAGTGGGAAGGTGAGAGACACAGACACCTTTGGGCCCTGGGTTTGGGTAGCAGAAGGTAATGTGGGGTTATCAGGGCAGAAAGCAAGTGATCTGTGTGTTATGCTGCACATGGCAGTGCCAGCAGGTCCTCAGAGGCTTGGCAGCGTCCCTTGGGGCACAGATGTAGTCAGATGTGCTTGTTCTCAATATTCAGCCCAGTCAGTCTCCAGCCCAGGGGATTGTGGCCAGCTGCTGGGGCTGACACCCTCATTGGGTCTGCCATCCTAGCAGACAAACTTTGCCATGGCGAGGCGTTAGCAAAGGCCTGGTGGTGAGTGACAGCATTTGCATGGCAGGGAGAAGAGCTCAGCATGCTAAGGTGGGATCTGGCAGTCTTCTAGTCCGGGAAGAGCAGGAACCCTGAGAAGATGCTGTCGGAGCCACTGATGCCCACCATGCCATTGTAATCATTCACTGCCAGCCAGATCTGCTGTCCAGCTTCCAGATGGAGGAGGATCCCACCTGAGCTTACCTGCATGGTGTTGGTCTTGTGGTCACAGAAGCTGGCCACCTTATTCATGTTCTTGTATAGCATGACACAGAGGTTGGCTGTCTGTGAAGTGTGGAAGACAAAGTAGTAGAGGCCAGGGAGCTTGCAGGTGAACTTGCCTGTGGTGGTATTGTAGTCATTGTTTGTGTTGGTGATGGCATGGTTGAACACCACGGGGACGTTCTTCAAGGGGTATACGCTAGTCTGCCTCGTCACCGAAAACGCTGACTGGTGCTTCTGCTTGTAGCTGCCTGGCATGCCTGGCTCTCCAGCAGTGCCCATCATTCCTGGGTCTCCACGAGGACCAGGGGGACCGACGGGGCCAGTCTTACCTGGCTTGAGTAGCAGGAATTGCTGGGATGCCTGTGGGGCGGGGGGAGGTGAAGAGGAGTCAGCCACAACAGCAGGGTGTGGGGAAAGGCCCCTCTTCCCCCCCTCTCTGAGATAGGAAAGGAGTCCTTTCCTCTCTCCAGCCTCTCCTCCTGCCCTGCCTGCAGAGGTTGGTAAACCTGAGCAGTTCCTCAGGCCTTGCCTAGGCAGGCCCAGGGAGAGCATCCATGCTTGGGATTAGCATAGCAGCTTGGAGTTTCTGGATGTCCTGTCCAAGCTGTTCTTGGGAAGAGCCGTGCCTGGACAAAGGCTCTCCCTCACACAGATCCAGCTACAGGGACACTGCCCTCCTGTGATGGAGGCAGACAGGCCACAGCAGATGCAACATCGCCCATTTAACAGGCCCCATGATTCCCTTCCTTGCTCACTCACCTGGCAGTCCTGGCAGGCCTGGCAGGCCTGGAGCCCCATAGCAATTGTGATAGGTGTCTCCGGTCACTGCAGCCCCCAGAGGCAGGAGTAGGAGGGTGAGGACTATATCAAGCTGCACCTGAAAGCTCTGTCCCATTTTGGTGCTCTGGAGTACAGAAAGAGGAAGAGAGCACTGGAGTGAGGGGCAACTGCAGGGGCTAGGGAGGCACCACTCCTTGAGGTGCTGAGGCATGGGGCAACCAGTTAACAGGGTTTACAGCACTAGGGGCACCTGGCTTCTCATGGGCTCCCCATGCCCATTGCCAGACAGGGGGGAGGCAGAAGCATGGAGACGGCCCCTGGCTCATCATGATGCCACAGGGGTTTGGACTCTCAGTCTGAAAGAAGCTGGGAGGTCCTGTGCTACCAGTAGCCATCTCTGACCGCCTCTGGTTCAGTGGCCAGAGCCCCCTGCAAATGTGCACACTGCTGCAGAGAGTTGCACCGTGCTCAGGGGCGTTTGCTTTCTGGATCCTTCCTTCAGCAGCAGCCTGACTTTCCTGGCTATGCCTATCAGGGTCCCCCCTGCAAGACCCTGTCTGTCAGGGATCTCCCAGGACTGTGCCTGCCCCTGGGCAACAGGTCTCCCCCCAGCTCCCCACAGCCGGGGCAAGTTGCACCCTCCTCCCCCTGACTGGTGTGCAACCAGAGTGCCTGGCAGTGCCTCTGCCTCCTCCTCCTCTCACACAGCCCAGCCCTGCACCATGCTGCTCACCCCAGAAAGATGGACCCCGCTGCTTCTCTTACCTCTGGTGGGGGACACAGGGCACAGGGTCCTGCACTGCTGAGAGGTCTGGCTTCTGTGAGCACTGCCTCCTAGCACAGCACAGTGCAGAGCTGCCTCTGCAACACCCTTACAGAGGAAGCCTCCAAGTTAGGAAAGGGCTCTTAGGGAGCCGCAACCCCCCGGCTGGCCCCCACCCAAGTTTCACATCCTCCTGTTTGACCATTTCCCCTGAGCAAGCACTTCCCTGCCTGTCCAGCAAGACCTGCACTCCTTTCCTCCAACCTTACCTCATTTCTGAGGGGAAGGGCAGAGAGCAGCAGGAAGCAGACCTTTGCACCAGCTCTATGAAGCCAGAGCCATCTGCGCAATGGAGAAGGGCTGGTGTAAGGCCTGGCTGTGAAGTTAGGCCAGCCTGGATGGGAGATGCTGGCATGACAGATGATGAGCAGAGAGGGTCCTGGTGACCAAAAGGTGTTTCTCCTTCAGGGTTTTTGGCTTGTGGGCTGGCTGTCCTCTTTGCACTGCTGCCCTGTGCTTCACCAGCCCTGCCTGCTCCTGGAGGTGCCAGGGCCCAAATATCCCTCACCAAGGGGTGCTGGAGGTTCCAAAGACGGTGACCTGGCTTCCTCCTCACTGCCTTGGGAATGGTGGCATCTTTGACCGAACTGAGCAGCTGCTCTGAGCAACAGTCCTACTGTTTGGCACCCATGCAGTTTCCCGGATGCTGCCTGGCTACCTGCTACCGATCTGGGGCACCCAGCCTGCTATACTGCCCCTGGTATCACTCCGAGCATACATGTATCACCCACCCATCACCCTGATCCCTTCGTTACTCATTGGTGAAAGACTGGAGGACCACAGCCGTAATTCCTCTCCCTGGGAGGGTCTGGGTGTCAAGAGAGGCCCATTTGGTGAAGTGCATGCTTTGCTACCTATATTTACCCCTGTACAGGGCAGCTGGCTTGGACTCACTGGGGAAAGGCTACTTATAGGCTAGTCCAGGAGATTTCCCCTTTTCCTCCCTCCAAGTGTTGGCTCTGCTTGTACGCTCAGTTCCCCACTGCCACTCTACCTTTGCAATTGGGGTCTGCACTTGGCCACGGACAAACTGGAATCGCTTCTTTCTCTGCACAGCTTGGGAAGGGGCCCAGTACATCAATGGTCTGGGGAAGGTGCATGAACAGGAAAGAAAACTCAAGTGGCCGTCAAGGAAGAAAGGGTTTATTTGTGGTGATGGGAAGGATGTGAAAAGCAATAGTGGCCTTGCGCCAGAAAGGCGTTTGCAATGGTTAGTGCAGCAAAAGTGGTGGCATGTGGTGATTTCCCATTCAGGAACAAAGGGCCGCAGTCGGTGAGTGGCCCTGGTGACCACTGATCCCCTCTGGCATAGGATCTGAAAACACAGGAGCAAAAAGGGCTGCTGGGGCCAAGACTCCTCTGCCTCAGGGAGGAAGCGTGCTTTCCTGCCCATCTCCGACAGAGAGGCAGTCTCAGCACAGCCTGGAGGCAAAGGTCTCATCACTGTGGTGGTCACCCACAGCCTGATCACTTCATGACACTGGTGGAAGCACAGTCCTGGGGCAGTAGCAGAGTTCATGACTGTCCCCTGTGCAGGGACAGCCCCAATGGCCATGACATAAAGCCACCCTATGCACTTGTGGGGCACAAACACACACACACACACACACACACATGCACACAGCAATGCTCTGGTACTAAGCAGATCAGGTCCAGGCTGGCCAGCAGGAAGTTGACGGTCTATCAGCCCGTTTGAGGAAACAACATGAAGCCACTGAAGACACTGTCTGCCTCGGAGCCACTGTAAATCATGTTGCTTTTCAAGGGGTTGAAGGTCACAGAGACCTTATCACCTGCGGCCAGGCTGAGCACAGCGCTGCCTGAGTTCACCTGCAGGATGTTGTGGCTGTTGTTGTCACAGAAGCTGACCACACTCTCCCTGTTCTTGGTGATGTGCAGACAGAGGTCTCCACTGGAGATGGCCTGGTAGGCGAAGTAGTAAAGGCCAGGGACACGACAGGTGAACTCCCCAGTCTGGGCACTGTAGGAGTTTTCCTGGTTAGTGATGATGTTGTCAAATACTACGGTGTTGCCCCTGTGTGGCGGAGACTTCCGCGAGGCTGAGAAGGCAGGACGTGGCTGCTCCTTGATGTTGCCAGCCTTCCCCTTGGGCCCCTTCGGCCCTGGCTGGCCCGGAAGCCCAGGGGGGCCACTTGGACCATGGTAGCCTTGATTTCCTGGGTTGCCAGGAGGCCCTGGCTCACCTTCATCACCTTTGAGTCCACGGATCCCAGTTCTTTGTGCTGGTTTCCCTGGGGAGAAGCAATGAAGATGCTCAGCTTGTACCATGGCTGGCACATCTGGCATCTCATGGGATCTGCTTCAACAGCCCATGATGCTTCTACCAGGAGGCCTGAGGTTCCTAGCACCACACGTGCCCAGCCCCTCCCTTACCTGGCTCTCCCATGTCACCCTTCTGTCCTGGCCTCCCATTAAGGCCAGGGGGCCCTGGGATGCCGTTCTTGCCATCTGGTGCCCGACACACGGTCTCCTGAGGTGAGGTCGTGCCCAGGATTACTGCCAGCGTGCCAGTCACCAACCAGAACCTGAGTTGCATCCTGCCTTTCTGCAAACACAAGAGTGGGGAAATCTGGGGTGGAGGCAGGCACACAAAACACACATGCAAGCTTCACTCCCCATAGGTGAGCATAGGGTCCACCTCAGTGCATATACACATGTGTGGATGCATCCCTGCCCAAACTCCTGCATTACAAAGGCAAAAATTAGACCTAAGCTGATGTGCTCCCACACCCATGGTAGTAGCATCATCCAAACCCAGTCGTGCAGACATGTACACGCACAGTGCACGCGTGCAGTGCACACAAGGACAGACGAACCATGGACACAGAAAGGCAAGCATAAACATGCACTTGTCCAGACCTGTGGACATGTGTGATGCACCTGTGTGCTCAGATAAAAACGCATGTACAGATCTGCCATGCTGCCCATGCATGGATCGATTCACATTAACAGGACAACACTTGAAATGGTGAAAGAAACTTCATGAAAGTATTTTGAGACAAATTCATTGCACGATCTGAATCATCCAAACTACTGAAAAGCTTTGATACAGGCCCATGGCAGGCCTGTGGGATTAGAGAGCATGGGACCCAGTGCATGGCATATACCCTTCAGCGCTCTGTGCACAGCCCAGGGGTGGGTGGTCACATATCAGTTGCAGGCACACGAGGTGCCTTTTCAAATGTTAGAAGGGCAAGCACTGATGTATGGAGCAGAAGTCCCTCAGGACAGAGAGTACATGAAGGGAAATGATGCAAAGAGACAAGATAGAAGAGGATGTCTGGGGGGAGAAGAGCAAACCTGGCCCAAAGTAGGGGATGGGGGTCACTGACTGCAGTGCAGGAAGAGGCTGTGCTTGCTACCACTTCAGGTCAAGTTTTACTTTTCTGTTGCAGGCACTTGGCATGGTGCATGAACCTTTGATTGAAGGGCGGGTGGTGGATGTCCCTTCTCTCAAGGGTTTGTCGGGAATCTGGGGATCTCTTCTCCCAAGGGTTTGTCAGGCGTTAGAGAATATAAGAGTAACCAAAGGCTTTGCCCTTGCCACCAACCCTCACCATCCCCATCTCTGCCAATATTTTAAAGAGCTGGAGGAAATCTCACTCCCCTGGGGATGTTTCTCTTGCCCTAATCACCCAGGCAGCACCAATAGTTGCCTTCAGAGAAGGCTCAAGCCCTTGAGGCAGCAAGGAAAACATGCAGGAGCAATCCAGACAGGACACAAGCCTCCAAGACTATCCCACCACCCCGGGAGACCCCCAGCCCCTGCAGAACCAGGACATGGAAAAGACAGGCAGGGGGGGATTCAGATCCCCACCACATAGATCTGGGAGAGATGAGGGACCTCCTAAGCGCACAGACCTTCCCCAAAGCCCAGGGTGCTCAGCCCTGCAGAGCCCAGAGTTGCCCACATCCATGCCATGGAGAGAGAACAGATTTGTCCCCCACATCACCTTCTCCCTTTTTTTCTGGGGAGTGAAGGGGAGAAAGGAGGAGGCCAGGGAGCAAGGACTGGAAGGCTGTGGCAGAGGGATGTATCATGGCGCTTCAGGGTGACTTACCTGCTTGTCGGGCTGAGGGCAAAGCAGTCTGAGCAGGCAGCTCTATTTTCTGGCAGCTCTTCCCCAGGATCGAGGAGGAAGAGCAGCAGGGTGGGGGGTATGTACTTGCGTGCACAGCAGGTTGCCTGATCTGGGAAGAGAAGTGCCAAGTTTCGTTTTTTTGTGTGTATTTCCCCTTTTGGTGCCTGACCCGTGCTCAGTCCTGCCTGCGCCAGACATCAGCAGGGAATGGCTTGCTCTGTAGAAATGCTGGCCTCTTCCAGGTCCCCAGGAAAGAGGTTCTCACCTATCCCAGCAGCATGCTATCCTTCAGTGCGGACGTTAACCTACGCTTGCACAGGCTGTCAGCGCAGAGGGCTGACAGGACGGACCAACCCTTTGTATGTGCTCAGAAAGCAATGACTAGCGCGGCAAAGGGCTAGTTCGATGACCAGCTCTTGGAAGAGGAACCAGAGCAAATGCCAGTGCTTGCTGCCCCTGGGTGCATCCCTGGACCCTGATTTCCAGCCAGTCCCACCCACTGTTTCTACATCACCTCAATCTTCAGCCCTGTCCCCAGTTTCCTGTCCCATCACTCTCCCTGTCACCTGCACCCTTCTCATTTCCCCCTCACTGGACCCCATTTCTTAAATCTCACCTTTAGGTCTCTACTTCAAGCTCTCCCCTCACTCACTGCTCAGCCGCTCATCCCTTTGCAGAGGCCTTGTGCGTTTGGTCCACTACGAAGAGCATATTCATTCCTGCCATGGAAAGAAAAGCAAAGAGATGGGGATCTAAGTTACCCCTTTGTGAGGCTCTTCTTCCCAGCCCTATGCATGTGCGCGCACACACACACACGCTGTGTCCATATACAACATTTGAACACTCCTGTTTACAAGGGATGCCCCCATGTGTGCACACATGCTCCAGGCAGATCACAGATTGCTGCACCATACCACGCATGCATGTACATGCACTCCTTCTCTCTCAATTTGCCTCTCCATTAACATTGCGTCTCTAGCCCAGCCTAGGAGACTTTCTTCCGTGGCTCTGCTTTTCTCCTCTCCCAACAGCAGGCTGGATCAGGGCCATGTGATGGCTGGGCATAAAGAAGCACAAACGCAGAGGATGCCCAAATGCTGGTGCCTGCCACGGCTCTGCCATTGCAGGAGGTGACAGGGGATGTGAGCGCTAGGTGGCACTGCCATCCAAGGGATGCACGGCATGGCTGGGCTGGGCTCCCCCAGAGTCACTACTGACAGCTCCCTGGCAGGATGATGAGCAGAGCGTGGCTATCTTTGATATACAGCCTCTCATCTGTAGCCAGGCTTGTCAATTCTGCTGCTTACAGCGTTTTTGTGGGCTACCCCTCCCTCTCCTGGTTTCATCTCTCGTGATGGTGGTGGCTGAGAGCTGGATGCGATTAAGCATCTTCTTCCATGTCCTTCAGTGTGCTCAGAAAAATGGCGCCGCAGGAGATTTGGAAGCTGCCTGCGAGTGACCCGACAGCCCCACTCACGTTCACCTTCCTGCCAGCTCAGCCAGACAGGCAAGTGAAACAGGGCTGCCTGACACTGGCGTTGCTGAATCAGCAGCAATCTACACTGGCTGCAGCTCCTTTGGGGCGTCAGCACTCAGGGCCCACAGTGTGCATTTGGCTGGTGGTATCCAGCCATAGGGGACTGACCCCTCCTCATAACTCCCATCGTGAAGGAGCCAGCAGGTATCTGTGTGGCTCAGCAGGGCCTTGAGCATCCTAGATGAGAGATCTCCCTTCCTACTGTCCCTGTTTCAGGTCCTCGGTGATTTAGGACCCTTGTCTCCATAGCTGGGACCCTATGGGACATGGTGGAGGTCTCCTGGCACCCAGACTGTGATACGTGACCTGACTCAGATCTGCAAAACCAAAAAAAAACCATGCCTTGCGTCACCAAGCCCAGGAAAGGTCACCCGGGGAGTTGCATTCAGCCTAAGGCTCTGCCAGAACAGAGACCCCAGTGGTCCCAATATAGGCCAAAATGGCCCTGTCACAGTCGGGAGGAGTGAGATGAGATGTGCTGTGATAACCTCCAAAGGCAAATAGCCTCCATGCTGCAGGGCAAGGGAGTCCTTTGGGACCTGCCAGGCTACTCTGGGGTGGAAAACCCTTCATCAAGAGGACAGCAGGCAGCTAAGAAAGGCCTTTCTGGTCCATATTCATACAGAGTCTCTTTCCACGTCCTGTTACAGCTACACTGAAAAAGTGAAAAAAGTGGCATCTGGGTCCCCAAGGCAAATGCAGAACTAGCTGGAGCTTTGGGCAATGATGTTCAGGGAAAGGGGGTGGTGTAGGCACTGGGATCAAGGTGGTCTCAAGGCCAGAGACGACTGGCACAACCCTCCATTTCCCCTTCCCCCCACCTCCAGTGCTCCCAGGGGAGCTGTTATATAATTTCCGAAATAGCAGAAAAAGTGAACGACTAGTGTGAGACCAAGAATCAGTCCCAGAGTCCCTTATCAGATAAAATTTTGCTCATCAGTATATCTCCATTAATAATTACCTTTGGAGATCTGTCAGAGAGATGGTCTTTAATTCATTGAATATATGCCCTCTTAATGCAATATAATACCCATTTTTAATCAAAATGTCACCCAGTAATAAATCAGATGCCCAGAAGAAATGCAATTTTATTCTATCAACACAGTTCCTTTATCAACTAGACCTGTAATCATGTCAAGAAAAGATGACAGGTTAGTTTGAAAAGACCTACCTTCCACAAAAGAGTTTCTGGACAGTAATTGTATTTCTGCCCTATTGCCCTTTGTTAATATACAGCTGAAATGAGACTGCTCCATCATTTCATGTGGGGTTGATGGATGTTTGTGTCCTAGTGTCCCTGTGCCCTGTGTCCCTGAGTGTCCCCTTCACCCCACTGAAGTGCTGAATTACAGGAAGCTAGCCACAGGTTTCCAGCTTCTCATGGAAGTTGTGTTGGGCCTGGCAATGCCTCTTCCAGGTCCTTGGGACTCTTCTGTGATGTGAAGCCCCACTTGTTTGACTTTATGAGATGCTGCGTTCAAGCCAGGCTTTGCTCTCCCCACTCCTGAGCCCTTCTCCTCCTCCTCTTCATCTGCAGTTTGGACATCTGCAGCTCCAGGAGACCCTCTCCCCTTCCTTCACCTCTCTGAGGCCACAGCCCCCCTACAAGCCAATTTCTTCTGTGGGGTCCCTGTCTACCCTTAAATGATCCCAGCACTGGTGGTGATGGCAGGTGGACACAAGGACTGGGAGTAGCCCAGGCATCTCTTCAGCATCTGCATGGCAAGTACAGTAGAAAACTGTTATTGTACTGAAAACGTGCCAGCTATTGGTAGTCCCCAGAAGGAGCCATCCCATTCCTGTGGACCCCAAAGACACTGTCTCTTTCAGAGTAAAAAGCAAAAAATCAAACGTAAAATAGTTCCACCCTGGCACTCTCCTCCTTCCACACCAGGCTGTCCCCACAGAGCATCTCTGGGAGCAGGGAGGGAATAGCGGCCGAAGGACACAGTGACACTGTGCAGTGCATGGCACAAGCAAAGGGGTGACATGCCACGAGGTGGCAGTGCTGTCTCAGACACGCTTGGTGTTACCTGCCCACCAAAGCTTATCTTCCTTCTCCAAACCCAGAGGTGGAGGAACCCTCTGGGGGTCCCAGGGCCACAGACACCACGTTGAAGACTGACCTGGTGCAGGTTTAGGGCAACCACAAGAGCATATGGAAATCATAAGTCAAGGAGTCAGAAAAGTCCAGCTCCTTCCTTGCATCCCCAGCAGGGCTGCAAACCTGACACACCAGAGCTGGGTACAGTGCAGCACCCTCTGAAACTAGGCGAGAAGCACCAACCCTCTGCCAATATGGCCTGGGGTGTTTCTTTGATGATGGCAAAGCCATGCTCAAAGGGAGACCAAAGCCCCAACAGGTTATCCTTGCTGATACAGGTCCAGCGGGGAGCGGTGAGGCATCTCAAGCTGGATATATCCCGAAGGCTTCACCACTGACAGGCTCCGGCACCAAGAGGTGGCTAGGAGGCCTGAGAGAACCCCCAGATGATGTGAACAGCCAGCTGGGGATGAGCTGAAGGCAGACGGGGAGGTGGGTGTACGCTGGAGCAGCCAGTGTATATGGGTGCTCTGCAGAGCCCCAGGCAGCCCTAATCCAGCCTCTTAAGAGGAGAGATCTGAGCCCAGCAGCGATTATAAAATTCTTGTGATCAGTCACACAGCCAGGGCTCCCACCACTGCCTCCTGCAGCTAGCTTGGGCTGTAGCCCTGGGACCTGCCCTGTTCCAGATGGTTCTTGCCCTGAACAACGCTAAGCAACCCTCCTTTTTGTTAGGACAGGCCTTGAGGCAGCTCCTTCCCTTCCTTGCTGCGCTTTATCTGGTGGTGCAGGACAAGGTAAGGCAGTGCCAGCCTAGCCTTGCACTTTCTCTTGCAGCAAAAATGCCTCCCTGCAAAGCCTTCTCCCTGCATCCCCAAGGCCTTAGGGCACACAACAGACTGTCTGCCTGACAACAGACAACAGGGAGAGATGTCTTCTGCTGACTTCCCTGCTAGGGATCCCTTGGGGTGCTGAGCAGGGACAGGCAGGAGCTGCCAGAGGAGGGTAAACCAGAGCTAGCACCTACCTGCCAGCGTACAGGAGGGAAAGGCACGTGATGGGCAATCCCCATACCGCCAGGTTCTGCACACACCTCTACTCCCAGTTGCTGGCCATGAACCACATGGGCATCCCAGTAAGCTTAGCTGTGAGCCTGTGGGTTCTCCACCTGCACCCACCAGGAGAAAAGGACAGCTTAGAGCTTTTTCAGTCACTGATCAGGAACGGCTTAATGATGCCTGAATAGCTGAACCCATTTCACTGGCAAACAGTGATTTCTTTGCTCTTTAGCTGCCTTAATCCAAAATGCTCAACTCGTGCTGCTGACCACCAGATAAACTTCCCGGGAGATGCAATAATGTTTGCATGAAATCTGAAGTCTCCCATGTTTTCATCAATGAAATAAGAAGCTGGGATCATTCAGGGGTCCTGGAAGGATTTCCTGAGATACCAGCTGAAGAGCAGACTGTATGGCCACTTGCCACTCAGTGTACAAAATGCGTTAACTGTTGCCCTAGGGGATGTGCTGTTTCCAGGACA